TTATATACAGTATATTTTCAGTATATGTTCCCGTCGACACAATCTCACAATTTGCTCATGAGCAGATAGGACTTGTTTCATTGTTTATACGAAATTGTTTCTTTGTTTATATACAGTATATTTTTAGTATATGTTCTCGTCGACACAATTTCAGTGATGCTATGAAAATTTTCTTGTGAGCATATAGGATATGTTTCATTGTTTATATGTCGATAGTATATGTTTATATACAATATATTTTCAGTATATGTTCTCGTCGACACAATATCAGTGACGCTATGGTCTTTTATCGTATATTTTACAGAATTATTTCTTGATCATGACAGAAATAACGTTGCTCTCGATTTTTGTTTGGTATATTTGTTTTAGTATATTTGTTTGGAAGATGATGATGTTTAAAGTTCAAAGTTAAACTCTTTTTTTTTTTTTCTATCAATCGGTTAAACAATAGTTGACAATATATATTCTTAACATATAATAATAGCACATGTTATGTTTTTCTCTCTCCTAAGAACAGATGATTGCGTGAATAAAGGCATCAGTTACCTAATTAAAGGTAATTGATACATGAGGCATATCTGCAAATATTTATGCCAGAATTAGCGTATATTCAATATAAAAAGATCAATGACAGATCTGCAATATTTTGACCAACGTGTAGGATAAATTAAAATTCGCCGTTTGTTTAACTATTAATTAGGCTAAAACAACATAACTATACCAAATAAGGAAAAAAAAAAAGAATATCTGCAAGTTATAGAAGATATGAAATTCCAAAAAAGCACGTCTCCCAAGCCTATATAAATGCGAATTACGCATCTCAATTTTTGGCATTCTCTCTCTTAATTTTCTCCCTCACATTTTTTTTGCTCCCTCTTAATTTTCCTTCTTCCCCACGTCTCCTCACTCAAAATCCCAATCTTAAAAAAGAAAGAAAAAAAACAAGAGACTTAATACAGGCTTACAAAAGCAGCACCTCTAAGAACGTCAGAAAAATGAAAGGTATAATAGGAAGCACCTCCCGGGTGACCCGTCACGCCGCGACAGTGCTCTCGACAGGAGAAGTTCATGAATGAGCGGGATTAGTTTTATTTAATTTTCCAACTCTTTTAGGATGATAGTTAGTGCATGTTGTAGGTTAATTTCGTGGCTTTTCTTAAAAAAAAAAAAAAGCGACTTGTCATTTGAAAAATTACGCAATAAGATAAAAGTAAATGCTCGTTTCCGAGCAAAAATTCTCGTGGTGACAGACGTCCGTTAGTGCGGGTTTACATATTTGTTACGTAATCGATACACGATCTTCATTATTGGTGCTTTTCATTAAGAGAGAGTAGATCGTATATCAATGTAAAACCGAGAGTGAATCTATCGTTTGGAGGAGAGTGTACAATCAATTAACAAGAACGTACAATCGACAAAATTCATCGTCGCACAGATCGAAAGGACGTTGCTCCAAAGGACAGCCAGACGCAGAGACGAATCAGATTCGTCGTCAAGCATGCCATGGGAAAATTCAAATTTATTGCCAAATGGAGTCAACGAATCCGAGAAGGGACTGGAAATTCTACATGACAAAGACAACCGGTCGAGGGGGTTAAACCAGCGGGACGAGGGTCAGTTCTTCGATGATCGGCATAGGACGTCATCATTCCCATTCGTGATGATGATGTTAATCCTAGAGTCTCGAAGCCTGAAACGTTCACAAAAATTGGATGAAGATTAACAATCGAATTCCAAGAGCGACCGAATGGCTAAAT